ATTCATGACAGGCATCTTTTAAGAGTACGGACCTTTTCTCACGAAATAAATCAAGATACTACGGCACAAAAAGAGAGCGGTAGTCAAAAGACTCTCCAAGTCTTAGCATCCGTATTTCGTAACGTTTAGCATAATATTTGAATTTCATTGGAGAAAAAAGTTCTAAAAGATTAAGATAAAAAGAAAAAAGATTTAGGCGGAAAAATTCTTGAGTATGCCGTCAAGAAGGTTTTATTTTGAATCAAGAATAAAATAGCTGAATGAAAGCGGGTTTCTGCTTGATGTAAGTGACTTTTTCTTTTTATAGAAGCATATTTTCCTCTTTAAACAAGCATTATTTTTTTTATTGATTCATGAGGAAATCTTCTTGACTGTAAAATATTTCTGTTTGAATCAAGACAATTTTCCCTCTGAAGAAGTTCAAAAATCATGCTATACGTTATTGAATGCAGAGACTAAGACTTCTTAAGTTTTCCGACAACTACTCTCTTTTTTTGTCGTTGTCACTATATTTAATTTGCGAGGGAACTTTATGTTTTTGAAAGATGCCATCAATCATGATACATTTGGGTGCTCTCTATCTCGTATGATATTGTGCAACACCTCCGTGGCGAAATAGTAGGTCGAAGTGCCTTTCGCACGCCGCGCCGGCGCGGCGCCGTTGTGAAGTAATCGTACACAGGAAAAATTTAAGAGCCTTTAGCTGAAGCAAATCCTAAGGTTTATCCGGTTCACGTATAACAAGATGGGATTTCGTTGAAAGATAATCAAGTCCTGTTGCACGAAAGAAGTGTTAAGAGTTTTATTGAATTTTCCCTCGTGGATTTGCCGCTTCCCGCATGTTTACCAAAAGTCTCAATTATATATTTTTCCCCGTCAGATCAAAAAAAAAAAAAAAAAAAAAAAAAAAAAAAAACAACGAAAAAAAAACAAAAAAAACAAGCAACCCCTTATTTTTCCAAGACAGTATATATTTTCACCCAAAAACGTTGTGAGCAATTGTCGTTTGTAATTACATGTGGACCAAATTAACTTTGGGTCTCAATTGGTAGGTGGACCAAAACTCCCGTGCCGAAAAAACGCGTGGACGTAAACTACTAGAAAAGACAGGCGCGCGGACATAAAATCCTTGACGAAATGTCCTGTAACCGAACAAAAGTTTAATGCTACAATTGTTGCATACACAGTAAATTGCAGGCGTCTCTATGGAGAGACCGAGGTACGAAGATAAAAGCTTATAACGTAAAAACGATGTGGCCGCTAGTAAATTTGAATCGTTTCTGGGTTTATACTTTCTAAAAATAAAGTTGTCTGCAAAGTAATAAATACTTATGCCTTTTCTGTTGAAGTAATAACAGTATACATTAAATTTATAAGACTTCCAGAAGCTTTTAGATAATGACCAAACAAAAATTCCCTTAAAAACTGCTGCACTACTGTTGGTGCCAAACTCCTTTTCGACCAGAGAAGATACCTCACAGGTCAATATAATTCCCTCTCGGATTTTTGAAGTAAAGATTTAAAGCTACTTAAAGTAGACAATAACCCACCTTCTTCAGTGATCTATCTCCTCCTCCACAGAGATACTTGTACTTCTTAATTGAGTGAGAACGATGAGATAGGTGGCAATTGCTCCAACGATCTTTGAAATGTAAAACAATTGTGAGTGTTAAATGGACCGCGTTAAACAGAAAGGAACCAAGCCACATCAGCTATTGCCAAATTTAATTGTGCAATTTAATTTTTTACATGAAAACGGTTGTGCGAATTTTCGTGCAAATTTCAGTGAAAATTTTCTACGGTGCGAAGCAAATTCCTTAAAATTTTCAAAGAAATCCGAACAAACGTTCTCTCGTGAAAAAATTAATTGTCCAGTTAAACTTGGCAATAGCTGATGTGGCTTGGTTCCTTTCTGTTAAACTCGGTCCAAATGTGCTCAGTCCATTTAGACCATTGATTAAATCGTTTGCCTTAATGATTCCCAACTATGGGGAGTGAAATATATACTCAAATCTGCTATATTTTTTCACTGGAAAAAAAACACATTGGATCCAGAGTCCAGACTCTTGAAAACACTGACACGAAAAAATACTCTTGATTCAATCAGATTTTTGCTTAAATCAAAAGGAAATCCGCTCAAATTGAGAGGCTTGGTTCTTGATTTAAGCAAAAATCCGATTGAATCAAGAGTATTTTTTCTTGTCGATGTTTTTAAGAGTCTGGACTCTAGATCCAATGTGGGTTTTTTTTCCAGTGCTGGTCACGCTTGTAAAGAAATCAAGTTTACTAGGATACCAACGAACCCGAAATGCTACAACGGTTATTCAACTATGTTTTTGTTTTTGATCAGAGGAAAAAAAAACTGGGAGCATGCAAGAACATGCTATGTGAGAATCATTATGATTACACTTACTTCCGGTGTGGAAGTATATACATCGGTTCAAAACTTTGGTCTAATTTCCATAGCAGAGGCAAATGCAAAATCCAGTGGAAAGGCATGCTTTGCGATATAGATTGATCTGCCATTTAATCCAATGGAAAATGATCGATAAACAGGGTGTTCGCGACGAACACCTTAGTAATCGATTCTTTACCATAGCTTCAAAAGCAGGAATATCGATAGTCGGTCATTCACGCCTTGCCACTGGCAAAATCTGATTAGTGTTGCGGTGTGTTCAACTCCTCCAAGCTAAACTTTGCCAAGGGGATATTTCTCAATTTTGTGTTTGTCTATCTTGCAAACTATATCGATGACTAACCTGCGAAACCAGGTATCTTCGTTGCAGTGTTTAATAATTTTGGCTCCTCTTTAACTTTTTCGAAGAGAAACATGTCAACCGTATAGCTTGAAATTTCTACGGAATATTCCGCTGCATGATAGAGAAGAAAAATCAAAGACGTTTTCAAGAAATTAAGTGACAAGTTTTCCAAAGAAAAAATGAAAAATCATCGGAAGTATGCAACGTCGCAAACGGCGATACATGGTTTCGCATATAAACCATTGATACGTAATCTTTAATGATAGAGGACCAAAAGCGATATTTTTCACTCATTTGAGCGACTCATCTATTTTAAATTCATATTTATACACGTGCAAAAACAATGCTCCAAGGAGGAAATGACAAACATATTCAACTCATGTTGTTTTTTAGTCACCCATCTGGAAAAGGTAAGTCGAATGGGAAATTTTCAAATTAATACATGATACATGAAGCAACGATGTGTATTCAACGTGATGGCTCATATTAGCTAAACAAATGGAGAATATTTCGCTGACTTGTCATCCTCGAATATGTGGATAAAAGCATTCTGGGTTCGATTTGAATCCACGCCCACATAAAAAGCGCCAATGCATGTTTAATTTGAAAATTTTCAAAAATACTATAATTTCATGTTCTACATGTAATGAAAATTTGGTTTGAAATCCTTTGTATCCGTGTATTTTACCTTAAGAGGAGGGTATAGATATTTTTAACCTACCGACGATATTAATTTCCGATCTAAAGATATGATATTAAAAGCGCAGAAGTTGACGTCATGAACACTTAATTTCGTCAGAGCACCCAGCATCTGCAAGTAAAATCACGGTATGAGGTAAGTTAATTATCACTACAAAATATCGCATTGCGATGTCTTATCGGGCTGTTTTAAACTTTCAATAGTCTGCCCGCAGGAGGCGCATATTGTAGGATTCTACACAATGGAAAACGATATCAGTCAATTTGCATACGTAAGTGCTCCTTCATTTCCATCTGATACTGTGCAATACTTCCGTGGTTGAATAGTTGCTCAGAGCGCCTTCTACAGTGTAGCTTCGACTTGATGGCAGACGGTCACAATGTATTATCGTTGAGATCACATTCTGGCACGTGCGTAATGACACATTATTTTCTCATCGCCGCACAGTGCGACAATGGAGATGTTGCATGTGTGAGGAATTTGCGATTTGACTGTTGATTCTTGCGACGATGCGGACAAAAATCGGTAAAAGACACTTAACTTTGAAACGTAAAGAAAGAAGCACCGACATAGGAACATATGTTGGCACTATCAAAGTACATCACGCGAGGAATAAGAAAATGTTATATCTCAGGATATTTTGTGTATTTTTCGAAAAAAGTTCATTTGAAGTTGGCAACCTCGAATCAGCCCTATGTTAACAGAGTAAAAGCAACGTGAAACACCCAAACTTTAACTTGAAATATCTCTGATAGTCGCAAGATCTTTTTGGTAGAATTGAAGTTGGATATCTGAGGATTAAGAAAATGTCAACCACCCAGAGCATATTGCGTTTCAAGCGAGAAACCTTCTTTGGAAGTTGACGTCTTTTTCCCGTGTATTTCCTATGAACCAGTAAATCTCGACCCATTTCCCGCCCACTTTCTACCCAAATTTGAAGTAGTTTTGAGCGAGAAATTTGAAAATGAACCATCATTGTGAGTCAGTAATCTTTAAGATGACAAACTCCAAAAAAAATATGCAGACGTCGAGTTGTGAATTTTTTTTTATTTTTGTCCACAGAGGGCCGCACTGTGCGCCGACGCGACTGCGAGGTAAAAAAAAACATTGATACCTCAATTTGCGACGTCGTATGTTTTTCAAGGCCTATTTTATTCCGGTGAACCAAAATGAACACGCTAAAATCTGCCGATAATTTTCCGAGATATGCTTTTTGTGATTACATCAATAGAGTTGGCACAACGCACCATACGTCGCTGATACCATGCCAGATTTTAACAGCACGACATGATGATTTTTTCCAGAGCCAACGCTTAAAATTCTTGTTAATGTCAATGTGTCCCCCAGCTCGAAACATGTGATGTTTTGATTGCCGTTTGTTTTTTTTCTGCTTGCTAAACTCGATTAAAACTATATGAATGAAAGGGAATCAATCGCCGTGCTTGGAGTACACCATAACCAAGGATATAATAGTGAAATTATTAACATTTCGAATCGGAGAGATTATCCTAATACAAAAGAGGATGAGAATAGATCGTGGTTCAGGTGAATAACGAAGGTGAGTTCACACAAATAAGGAATAGCGGCAAGTTACCAGTTCTAGCTATACTTACTTGGTCCTGTACGACGTGTGTGCTTGTGCCAAGGCCCTGACATATCGTTTTTATCAACGTTTCTCCCTGAAACAGACAATTCAGCCGCCATCATTTTTCAATTTTTTACCGAAGTCAATTTTGTGCCCAAAAACGAACCTAAAAACCACTTCCTGACGTCTCAAAATCCTTGAAAAATCGATAGAATTCCAATTCCAATTATAATTTCAAAATGATTAAAAAAATAATCGAGCTACAAGCCAAAGCTTTGTAGCCAAACATGGTAAAATGATTGAAAGCCCGCCAAATTGACATTAAAATGTAATACTTTCAAAATTGTATCATTAAATTTATTTTGTGTGCTTCAATCCTACACTATTGCTTAAATAATATCCGCGGCGAAGCCATCCATCTCGATTTACAGCGTTGCAGACTTCCTGTCATATTTCATTTATTACATGGAGTGCTGCTCGACGTCAATTCTTAAAAATTTCGGTGATTTGTCCTCTCAGTGCGAAGCAAATTTCGAGCAAATTGCAAGACATAATTTTGATTTGTTCACCTTCAAAGGAATAAACTAAAAGCAGAGATTTTTAAACATCGCAAACGAGAAAAGTAGTTTGGGGGTCTTATTACCGTCAATTTTTTTAAATGTTAGAAACTTTTTTAAATTTAAAACTTATTTTTTAACAGTTGTTTTAATATAGTGCCACTAAAATACTTTATCTCTGACTACACTGCCGTGCTAAGGGAGAACGCATGCAGTATGAATATCGAGAGTTGCCAAATTTCCCTCGGTAATCTGTTTATTTTTGTGGAAAGTTATGAATATTTTTCCTTGTCATTTTTTGGAACTTTAGGTGAAATTACGAACCATATTATCTGAAAAATGGGTAGAAAAATATTCACGAGTTCGCCAGGAAATGTGTTTTATCAATCGAAATTTGCAAACGCCTGAAGGTTCATACGTCGTTTTTCCTTAGCACGACAGTGACGAAAGTACTAAGGTCCCTTTATAGAGAGAGGTGAGACAACGCGGCTTAAGGTGATTCGATGGACGCCATATTTTGTGTCAGAACGGCATGCGATATATCGCATCAATTGGTTCCATATTTTCAGCTACTCGTCATTTTTCTCCTATTTTGAGATCGCAATTTTGTTGTCAGGAGTCTAAAGCACTCACTTACCAATTTTAACAAAGAAATTCAACGTAATAAAGGCGTGGTTTTTTCAGAGAGAATATATCGCATTCGAGTGCAGTTTCGATATCAGTATCGAATGCGATGTTTTCTCTCTGAAAAAACCACGCCTTTATTACGTTGAATTTCTTTGTTAAAATTGGTAAGTGAGTGCTTTAGACTCCTGACAACAGAAGTGCGATCTCAAAATAGGAGAAAAATGACGAGTAGCTGAAAATATGGAACCAAATGATGCGATATATCGCATGCCGTTCTGACACAAAATATGGCGTCCATCGAATCACCTTAAGGATGTCACAGACTGGAATAAAGATTACACAAATCGAACGTTTTTTTGTAATCTTTGATGAACCCATTCCCGAATTTCTATCTCCGTCCCCTCTCTCATTCCATTTGTTCCTTGCCGTACCCCCACTTCCCCGGTCCATTCCAGTTTATAATATTAGCAGTTGGAGAAAATGTAATCTTTATTCCCGTTTAAGACACTGTGAAGGCCTAAAATACGGGAACCAATCAGAAGCCTGATTGTTAAAATTTTGTGTTTGTCGGGTGTAAATGGATGACATAGGTAAAATGGCGAAGCGTGATTGGTCGGCTACGTCTTATCGCTNCCTTTAGTTTGTCGTCCATTCCACCTGACAAAGCACGACAAAGCAACGATAAGACATGGCCGACCAATCAAGCTTCGCCATTTGACCTATGTCATCCATTTACACGTGACAAACAGATAATTTCAACAATCAGGCTGCAGAAATGGATTCGCATTGTCTTGACTCTCAGTATCAAGGGACTCTAGGCAATACAATAAAGGATTTTTCGACTTGATCTTACGTTTTTAGCACTGTCCGCAGCGGGCAGCACTAGCAAGGCGAGCTGGCAGGCATGGTACATGAACCACCAAACTTTCATCGAAAGTCCATCCTCAGTCGTGGTGATGAGAATCGTCATGACGTGAGGAATGATGAGCAAACGATAGAACAAGTAGAACAGGAGCATGCCCAGCTTGAATCCGTAAACCTTGTTGATCGAGGACACGCCTTGGCTCAGGTACCAATGTAGGTCGACCAACCGATCGAATCGACTGGTTGCAGTCTCTAAACAAAGATGATAGAGGGCATAGGAAATTGAGAACAATACACGGTGATCCAGGGTTAAACGGCTAGACTGCAGGAGCATATTCTATGGGTCAAAATAAGACTTTTTTTTGTATGAAGGTCTTTCCAAAAGTGCTCCCAGACAGAGTTACGCCCCCCCCCCCCAAATTTCGGAAAGTAAAGCGTTTTTCCTGAATTTTGGCAGCGGTTTTGAACCAAATCTCATAAAAATGTGTACTCCCTCGTACTTTTATGCCCTGAATTCATAAATGATCTAAAAAAATCGAAATCTCGATTCATAGAGGGGGTTTGGGGGCGTTTCGGCTCCTGTAGTCTGGCCGTTTAACCCTGGATTACTCTGTGTAGCAATTCGTTGTTTCTGTCGCGTAACTACATTTCAATTTTGCCAGATTTTACTGCGCAAGTTTCATTTTAATCGGGAGACTTCTGAAAATTTCACTAATTTTTCTTCTGATCTCATGCAAAAATCAGACACATTTTTGACGAAAATTAGGCAGGTTTACTCTCGTAAAAATTTAATTTTTCGAGTCAATTTTGCAACATTAGAATAAAAGTAAGTTCCTCCGTCCGGGAACACTCCGTCCTTACACAATAATCAAAAGTCAAATCGCAAATTCCTCACACATGCAACTTCTCCATTCCCTTCATTTTGATGGATATGCAATTGATCTCTGGGGAGTTAAAATAGTTGCTTGAGATCACTGCTTGTTCCCAACATCTGAGCCGGTGTGGCGTTTTCAAAGACATTCCAAACGTTCACGGAAGAGTGGATCCACTCAAATCCCCTGCATTTCGGCGGATATGCAATTTTATCTTCATTGATTTTCAACAACGACGTGGAGCATTCAGATAAACAGCAAGAAACCAGCAACGAACAGCAAGTTCCTAAAAATTCCCATTGTTGCAGAGGATCTTAAGCTGTTTTATTCTTAACCGTTAGTTGTCACAATTTATTTCTACAATAAATTTTTATCTCTTTTTATTTGTTTTCATCAGGGAAGCAGCCTGATAAACCGGAGACACTAGAATGGATTGCGTGATTTCGACGAAATAATCTTCTGACTATAACGTGGCTATAGCTGAAATAGTTAGAGAAATGCTTCTTAGATGCGTAGGCAATATGACTGAGGGTTATTTCTCTTTTTTTCTTCTATTTTTTGCCGAAATCGGCTTGTAATATGTGAATTCCTCACTGAAATGAAGAATACCTTGAGCTGCATTGCTAAAAACGGTCGGAATTTTATTCCATTTCGGAAATATCAGAAGGGACACAGCTTCATTGATTGCTTTGAATCTCTTTTGGAAACTCCATGCAATCCCAAAGAACTCTATTTCAAGAACCAGGAAGTAGACGTCCGACAGGAAAATGAGTCCGTTCTCAACGATGTAGGCGGTGATGCCTTCCAGATCACCAGAGGTGTTCAATGCAAATTCCGAAAATATGAGAAGACTTAGGTAAACGTAGAAAAAAGCAATGACTTTGTCAATTTTATGAAGACTTGGAGTGAAGTCTGAAATCAAAATAACGGAGAAAAATGTAATCGAGGACGAAGAAATTAGAGCAAAGACACACAAAAAGACGTATTTCTGCTAAACGGAACTGAGCACCATACTGCCGTGAAAAGGAAAAATGTAATATGACCCTTCAGGTATAGCCAAATTTCCTTCAATGTGAGACAAAACTCCTGGGAAACTCTTGAATATATTTCTTTCGATTTTTTACAGGATTTCATTCACTATTTGATCTACAACATCTGAAAATTTCAAGGGAAAATATGCATAGCTCTCCTTAAAAATTACCATTTAATCGGAAGAAATTTGGCAACTCTGGAATGCTCATACGGCGTTTGCACGTAGCACTGCAGCATACGAGGAAGAAGGGTAATACTGCCATGCTGAGGAAGAACGCCGTATGAGCATTCCAGAGTTGCCAAATTTCACCAGGTGAAACTTGTATTTTTGAAGAAACCCTGGTAAAAATTGGCAGTAGAACCTGTGTTAGAAAATACCATAGACCTACAGCCGGCTGTAAGATTTCCAATAGCCTCTATAGCCGGCTACACAATTTCTTATAGCCTTTTATAGCCGATGGCGATTAAGCAACAGCCAGGCGATAAAGTGTATGCTAAACGTTACTAATTACGGATGCTAGGACTTAGTAAGTTTTTGGACTACTGCTCTCTTTTTGGGCCGTAGTATCTTGATTTATTTTGCGAGGAAAGCTCCGTACTTTTGATGGATGCCTGCCAGTCCTAATATATTAGAGTGCCCTCAGTTTCGTATGATACTGTGCAATACCTCTGGTGTGAAATAGTTGCTTTAAGCGCCATGGCTGGCACGCTGCGGCGCGGCAGGCAGGCAGCCAGCGCGAAACGCGCATTGGCGCCTACAAACCTAACAGGGATACTGTACGCGTTGCGCAATGCGAGAAGTATCCCTGTTAGGTTTGCAGGCGCCAGTGCGTCGCCGCTCCGCTTTGTGTTACGTTCTAATATTTAATCTGGCGGAGTCAGCGTTATTCAACTCATAATTTTGAAATGTTTCCACATCCTGTATGGATTATTCTCATTTTAATTTATGAAAATAAATAAGTATTAAAGGAAAATATAATGTGTGTTTTGTAAATATTAAGGTGGTTCCGTATCAAACTTAATGATTTCCAAAGCACACGAATTTCTACACAATTTCTTATAGCCTTTTATAATCGATGGCGAAAAAGCAACAGTCAGGCGATAAAGTGTAAAGCCCGGCGATAGGAACTGTAGCCCGGCTGAATAATTTTTTATCGCTTTGTATAGCCCGGCCGTATGATTTTCTCCGCATTCTACAGCCAGATATATGATTTTCTGTAGCCTTCTATAGCCGGCTGTAAAAATTCCTATGGTATTTTGAAACGCAGCTCTTATCGCCAATTTTTACCAGGGAAGTTTTGTTTATTTTTCTTTGAAATTTGCAGATCTTTTAGATTAAACATTGAGCAAAATTGTCGGAAAAATTTGAGGAGAAATATTCACAATTTTCCCAATAAATTCATTTCTCATTGAAGGAGATATGGCACCGTCTGAGGGTTCATACGGCGTTCTTCCTTAGCACGGCAGAATACGGGTTGGATTGGCGGGTGCCGCGAACCGCGTAGCTCGATCTTATGCTCAGAATACCTTTCCATGGCGCTTAGTTCCGTTCAACAGAACGCGCGATTGTGAAGCCTCAAAATCCACTGAAATTGGCGCTTAGTTCCGTTTAGCAGACATAAGTCCAAATATAATGGCAGGCTCACTCCGATAAAATTATTTAAATACTACTCCTACGAACTAGACTCTCGCCTACTTGTTCACAAACTTCAAAAAGCTCTTAAATGGCCAGTTCGTGAAATTTTTTGAGGTTATTTATTTATTTATCTATTTTTTTATTTTATTTTTGCAGTTTTTTTTTGCACTCTATTCCAGTTTAGGAATCTACAGCCGTCCATAAACAAGAGTTTAACGTGGAGATTATTTCTTCATCGTCAGTAGACATCAGGGGGATTTTGGCACATCCATGCTCCGGCTTTCAAATTTCCAGGTATCAAAGCTGAGTAGAATCTGTTACAGCGGATTTTTTTAAGGTTTATTTTGCCTGGACATCACTATTTTACACTTACGGCAAACTTATCTTCGCTATCACGGCAGCACTGCGATCAATTTGACACAAGAAGAACAGCTACTGTTTTTTTTTTTTTTTTTTTTTTTTTTTTTTTTTTTTTTTTTTTTTTTTTTTTTTTTTTTTTTTTTTTTTNTTTTATTTATTTATTTTTTTTTTATAGTTCTTCCGGGAGAAAAAGTGGCGAATCTCATCGAAGATATGACAATTTGAGCATCTTGTTCCACCGGCCGTGTTAGACAAAGTCGGGGATTTCGACTTCCATCTGTTTCGCGCTACCACCCCAACATGGGGTGGGTCTTTGCCAGATGGTCGTCTAAATGGTTAAACTATCATATGTTGGTTTAGGCTCTAATTTAGAAAAGGCTCTAGAACAGCTACCTGTTTGTCACAAATACTCACTGAGCCCGGCATCCACTCTATGAATGAACTTGAGGGCGGTCTCTCGCTCCGAGCGGAGGAAGAAGTTGACCGCTGGACAGAGGACGACGGCGACGGTGAAGATGAGGAAGTCGATGAGGAGAGACCAGAAGAAGGTGCAGTTGCCAGCGGCGGACTCGCAGTAGACGATGCGGACTGGCTCGACGACATTAACAGCGTAGAAAGAGGCCACGACGCCGAGGGTTGAGGCCACGACCGTGCCCCACGCTAGGTTTAGGCCGCCGCTATCGACCGGACACAGGCCTAGCGCTAGGCTCAGTTTCTCGTTGAGCCCGCTTAGGGGAGCCACCGGGCTCCTCAAGTTCGGGCCCCATTTTCGAGACGGCCGAGATGATTTCAGGCGTTTCAGGATCATGGTCTATAAAGTCTGTTGCATATCAATGAGTTCGAAACCACGTATCTCCATATAAAAAAAATTAAAACAGTGCTGCCGTGCGAAGGAAAAACGCCGTATGAGCCTTTAGACGTTGTCAGATTTCCTTTGATAAAAACCGAAGTCCCTGAAAAAAATATGAATATTTTTTTTTTTCAAATTTTCAAGATAATTTTGTCTGCAATTTGATCTAAAATATCTGATAATTTCACGGAAAAGTATGCATAACTTTTCCTAAGAAATACATGTTTTATCCGGAGAAATTTTGCAACTTTCGAATGTTCATACGGCGTTCTTCCTTAGCGCGGTAGTGTGGTAAAGAATCGATTATTAAGGTCGCTGCGAAGACCCTGTTTATCGATCCTTTTTCGTAGGTTTCAATGACAGATCGATCGATACATCGTAAAGCACGCCACGCCACTGATAAATTGTTACCGTTCCCCAATACCATCTCACACTGAAAAAATCTCGGTGTATTTACTAAGAAAAGGGTAAAATTACCAAGAATTCAGGGTTCTATTTGATCCCATTTTTTTCTTTGCAAAATTACCATTTATGGAATTGGCAATTTTACTGAGAAATCTCGGTAAAATTATTGAACTTTCTCGGTATTTTGGACCTTGGTAAAAACGCCAATATTTTCGATCGACTGTGGTAGAATTACCGAGATAAAATGGCAAAGTTACCGAGAATTGATTACCAATAAAAGTGGTATTCTTACCTGAAAAAAACAGTAAAAATACCGGTTTTAGGTAAGCTTCCCAGTCTGTCTTGGTAAAGTTACCAATAATTGGTAAAAAAAGTGAGATGGTAAAAGTACCAACGGACCTTGGTAAAAACGCCGAGAATTTTTTTTCAGTGCACTACCTGTTTTCTTGAGTCTTTCCTAAAAACACAGAATGAGAACTATTGAAAGAATTAGACAAGTCGGGCGACCTGGGACTGAGCCGTTTAGAAACTACATAAGATGTAGGCCGAGATTGTTCCAACGCTCAAAACAAGGACGCAAATTGATTTTACATCCCTTTTCACGCCCGCCTCTACTTTCCCTGAAATCGTCGCCCTCTCCGACGAAAGGGCGTATCTCTATTTTTGCACGGTCCCCAGAAAGTATGGAGTGATACGGAGCAGGAGACTCACGTGAAAATTGAGGTACGCGTATTCGTCAGCGGAGCGATGAGTTGGGACCGATGATGGATTACTTTCTTGACAGTAATATTATAGGTCTCTATAGGAGAATTGTGTGATTAGCATTTTGGAGGAATGTCTGTCAAAACGATCGATTCTATCCGGTGGCGATTTTCGCAGTTTGGCAACGTTACTTTTCTCCATTAAAATCCATTAAAACAATCGATTCTAGTTGAAGCATTTGAAACCCCCCTCCTCGAATCTGATGTTTAAAAATGTCTCGAGTCCGATATTTAAAAATGCCCGAGAGAATAAATTAATTAGTCGAATAAAGTAATTTTTTCGAGAGAATAAAAGCCGACTTTCACCTTTTCATTTTTACCGATAACTCTTCAAATGAAAAAGATGAACCGCGCAAATTTTCAGGTAATCCAGGTACTTAGTTTTCCGATTAAAAATTAAAATATATCATCTGCAAAATCTGAAACCAAGGAATGTTGTTCCCGAGCTCAACCATCAATTTTTTAATTAATTGAAGACATCATCGAAAGGATTATCACAGAGAATACGTAATCTGAGGGAGTAGAGGATTTCAGGCAACGTAACCTCTCATTATACCTAGTGCTCTGCTGTGAAGGAGCGCCCTGAGATTAGAATCTTTCCAACCACTCTCCCGATGAAAAATTACATTTTTAAGAAATGTCGTGAACATTTTCCTTTTGAACAGAGTTCTAAGACATTAAATTGCGGATATGGTTCTGGAATATGTGAAAGTTTGGTAATTTTCATTACACGGATCGTATTCTAAGTGAACTTTTGAATAAGATACCTACATGTCGATGAAGAAACTGCAGATATACGTGTCTTGGTTTGCGGAGTTGCTTACTTCCTGTCACTTTATTTTCAACATAGAAAACTACTGAACGTCATTGTTTTTAAATTTCTGTGATATTTCTTCTCTTTATAAAGAATATTCTGTGAAAACTTAAAGCCACGATGTTGGTCTGGTCCACTTTTAAAAAATAAAGTAGGAGCGGAGAATTCGAAACACCGCGCGCAACGGACATGCGCACTTGTATAGTTTCACCATCGATGTATCAGAATGCTTAAAATCATACCTTGTTCAATGGTCCATTCAATCTAAAAATGCGAACACAGAGAAGTTTCCTAACTTTTTTCGGAAAAAATATTTATCGGGAGAAACGAGGCAACGTTGGAATGCTCATACGGCGTCAAAACAACATGCCCCATCTTTCGATGCCGCGAGAGTTCGAACAATCGCGCCAAATACAGTGCGGCCGGCGTCAAACGCATATTAGTGCCTGCAAGACTGTACGAATACTTCTCGCATTGCGCCAGACAGTGCGGTCGGCGCGAGGCGCATACTAGCGCCTACAAGACTGCGTGAATACTTCTCGCATTGCGCCAAACGCAGTGCAGTCAGTCGGTTGGCGTGAGACGCATATTAGCACCGATAAGACTGTAGGAGTGCTTCACGCACTGCGCGCGCTTTAAGGACAGTCGGTTCTGGTTTTTTTTTTTTTATTTTTAAAAAAATCGATTTCCAATTTTTATCCCAATAAATTATACACATTCTCAGGACCATTTTAAGCTTTAGTTTTTTAAATTCCAGTGATTATTGGAGGAGTTGCAGCTTTTTTTGTCACGCAAGGTCAGGTCAAAAAAAAAACATTTCTTCTTCTTCTTTTTGCAACGCACTAAAAAGTTTAGATTTTGAACACTTTTTCCCCTTTTTCTCAGGATCGACAGATCTACTGATTGGATTTTCAAAAACTTTTTTTTTTGCTATATAGCTCTAAATTTACTCTTTAAATTGACATATGATTGTTCTGATATGTTGTTAAATAGAGTTTTTAGAAGACTTGGAAGTGAAAAAATCATTAAAAATAAAATGAAAATTTCAAAAATGTCTCAAAATTGTATTTTTAGGAAAATCGAGGTATTTACACGTCAATTGAAAGAACACATTTAAACCTCTCTGACAAAAATTGTTTTTAAGAATCCATTTGGTAGAATTTGAGAATACGGGGCAGATAGTGACATAGATTTCAATGTGTAGGGATAGACAGAACCGACTGGCCTTAATATCGTTGTAACTTTTCGGTGTCAGACCCATCACCAGCGGTGCGGTGGACACAATATCCAACCAGTGTATGTACAACACGAGTATACAATCCTGTCCGGATCGTGGAGATTTTCCTGATTTCTGTTAACCCATCATTAAATGGACGTATTTCTGCCAAACGGAAGTATGTGCATTATGACGTGAGCCCTGTTATGCATATATTCTTATGGACCTCAGGGCTCATGTCTTGATGGACATAGTTCTGTTTGCCAGAAATACATCCAAATATCTCTCAAGAATCAAACATCAAAATTTGCCAGTTTTAGTTGCAAATTTCACGTCCGACTTCGCCCATTTCTTGATGTTGTCTCGCAATTTGTTTCGCCCATTTTCTAGCAAGGCAGTATAGATAAACACAAAATCACACGAAATCGGTCGAGGAATGGCGAGATGGGCGGGGGGGGTGGTCAAAAATGAAAAATAATGCGTTTTGCAACGCCGTACGAACATTCGAGAGTTGCCAAATTTCCTTCCATAAAATGTTTAATTTTGAGGGAAATTATGAATCTTTTTCCTTGAAATTTTCAGAAGTTTTAGATCAAATTATAGACAAAATTACTTGAAAAATTGGTCGCCAAATATTCAAAAATTGCCTAAAAATTAGTGATTTTTTAGGGGAATTTTGGCAACGCCTGAAGGCTCGTCATACGGCGTTTTTCCTTAGCACGGCAGAATACATGAAAGAAGAGTCAAAGATCATAAAGAATCCTCGTTTCTTATACAATTTTATTAAGACAGCATAGCTTCCCCGACGAAATAGGAGCAAAATAGAGTCACCATAAAATATTGGAGACCTAAAACAAAAATAGCACATTGCCCACCCTCTCTCGTTACTAAACCAGCTAGTGGCTCGAAAAGAAGCGTGCAAGGATCGAAGAATATTTAAACTTAAAAAATGGTGGCAGTTTTGAATAAAAGATGAGAACACAGAAACGCAGTGTATTTGACAGCATCGGTTATTGTTCAAGCGTTCGATATTGACGTGGTGCCAATAGCTGTGAGTCCACAATTGGATTAAATTTTGCAATAAGGAATCCTGGCCCATCGTTAGCGACAACATACACGCCATTGGCTTCCCTCTGCAGATATGCATTTTTATGGGAGTGTTCCTTATTGCAAAATATAACCCAATGCAACGATTCAGACGAAAAAATTAGAAAGATGCATCGGAGAAATTGGAGAGTGAACTTCCAGAACTTTACTAAAAGTACCTATCATTCTCAGGGACGCTTAACTTTTTGAGCTCCACATCTCGGCGTTCCCCCACGAAGAAACGTAACTCCATTCCAAGGTTGCCAAATCGACTCAAACAATCCGATTTTTTACGAGAATATACCTGTTAAATTTTTGTCCAAAATTTTCCCAATTTTTTCATGAGATCAGAAAAACGACCGGCGAAATTTTCAGTCATAAACGCTCAAGATTCTCCCAGCACAAATGCAATGGACCACTAGACAAGGTACGAATTGAAACAATCTGATACATGTTTCTTAACAAGAATTTCACGTAGAACATGATTCGTGCAACGAAAATTACTGAAACCAACTCCTAAAGAAGATATCAACGTTTTTATTCCACATTGGTTACGAGAAATTTGAACTGCCCGCTCAGAAGAAACTCAAAGCTCCACGTGAGTCAAATCGCGCACTACAACGGTTTCAGCAAGCTTTTCAATCGAGCAATGTTCATACCCCATCGTGTCGTTCAAACTATAAGCAATTTGCTATAGCTGAGCCAAAGCGTCAAGACTGAGGTTGCCAGATTTCTATATCGCAGGGACTGTCATGATAATGTTTAGCGCGCCATGTGAATCACGTAGAGCATTGAGTTTTCATGAGCGGGAATTTTGAATTCACGCACCAGGAATCATTAAATATCTTCGTAAGGAGTTAATTTCGGTAATTTTTATTGTGCGCATCGTGTTTTACGTGAAATTTTGGTTGATTGACATGTATCAGAATGCTGAAATTCGTACGTTGTCTAGTGGTCCATTGCCGAGGCGAAATTTGGCAGCATCGAAATGCAGTCCCGTTCTTTCGTGCGGGAAACAACGATCCGACTCGTGTCTTGAAAATGAGCTACGACTTTGAGGGCGCAAAAGCTCTCACGACCAATCTCAACTCCTGCGTACTCAAGTGACGCAACACGCGCTCCAAGGCCTCAGCCGGTATCCCCATCAAACGATTCGGTTTCGCTCGATAAACTCGCAGTATCTCGTCCACATGCTCGCCCCGGATGTAACGCTTCCGAAGCCGCATCCTGACGCAGCCACCGTAGATCGGGAAATCTTTTTCAAAAGCCTCTGACGTCACGAACCGCGTCAAGATCGCGTTTCGAGCGAGTCGCGCGACCAGCGAATCGCCGCAGGTCAGCAAGACGTAGACCGAGTAGCCGCCGGGGTCGATCTCATCCTCGATTGGAAGTAAAGTGGCCTTCAAGCGTTCCACCTCATTTCTACACTTATCGGCAAACTCGACGATGAGTTTCGAGGACTGGCCAATGAGATCGCTTCGTTCGGGCACGGGTCGACCTCCAAGAATGAGGGTGCCTGCCGCCTCCAACCACGTCGTATGCGCGAGTGTGATCTCGTCTCGAGTGATGCGCCACCAACGGAGAGGGTAGGTGTTCTCTGTGTCGGTGTATTGACAGACGCGGCCGGTTCCTGCGTCGTGGAGAAGAGACTGGAGGGCCACTTCGTCGGAGGGCGGCACGACATCGGGGAACTTATGAGCCAGGAAGGACCTCAAAACGAAAGGGGACTCGTCACGAAGGAAGAAGCCCAGGTGGAAGTTCTGGCGGAAGTCCTCGGAGATTGCGTGGGCGCCGGCGCTGAGAAGGGCTGGGATTATGTTGCTCGCTTTCCATGTCTCGTTAGGGCGAGGGTGGAAGTAGAAGTAAGTACCTGTGGCAGTGGACAAAAGGACTATGCCAGGCGTGCTAGGGAAGAATAGAGTCTCGTTATACTGAGAGTTAAGGCAATGTGAATCCATTTCTGATTGCTCACCGTATTTTAGGCCTCCACAGTGTCACAAACGGGAATATAGATTACATTTTCGCTAATGAACCGCTAGACAAGGTACGAATTTAAGCAATCTGATACAAGTTTCTTAACAAGAATTTCACGTAGAACATGATTCGTGCAACGAAAATTACTGAAACCAACTCCTAAAGAAGATATCAACGTTTTTATTCCACATTGGTTACGAGAAATTTGAACTGCCCGCTCAGAAGAAACTCAAAGCTCCACGTGAGTCAAATCGCGCACTACAACGGTTTCAGCAAGCTTTTCAATCGAGCAATGTTCATACCCCATCGTGTCGTTCAAACTATAAGCAATTTGCTATAGCTGAGCCAAAGCGTCAAGACTGAGGTTGCCAGATTTCTATATCGCAGGGACTGTCATGATAATGTTTAGCGCGCCATGTGAATCACGTAGAGCATTGAGTTTTCATGACCGGGTGGTTTGAATTCACGCATCAAGAATCACTAAATAGCTTCGTAAGGAGTTAATTTCGGTAATTTTTGTTGTGCGCATCGTGTTTTACGTGAAATTTTAATTACGAAACATGTGTCCGAATGCTGAAATTCGTACCTTGTCTAGTGGTCTATTGCAAAGATTATAATCTAGAATGGACTGAGGAATGGAGATGTTGCATGTGTGAGGGATTTGCGATTTAACTAAAGATACTTATATTATGTAAAAGTTTGCGAGAAACTCGGTGGTGCCACTGGTTTTCTCTGCAATCAACTCCCAAGCTCAAAAAAAGCTCTCAAGTTGAGGCCAAAATGGAGAGGATATCCCACCCTACCTTGAGAGTCCACCTCTACATCAAAACAAACTCTCCATGCAAAGATAGGGAGCAAATACATTAGCAGGGTTGCCGTGTTTTCAGTTTGGAGTCTCCAAATAAAGTGGCAGCCCTGTCAATGTATTTGCTCCCTATCTTTGCATGTGGAGAATTTGTCTTGATGTAGATGTGGACTCTCAGGGTAGGGTGGGATATCCCCTCCATTTTGGCCTCAACTTGAGAGCTTTTTTTGAGCTTGGGAGTTGATTTCAGAGAAAACCAGTGGCACCATCGTGTTTCTCGCGAACTTTTACATAATAATCAATAGTCAAATCGCAAATTCCTCACACATGTAACATCTCTATTCAGCAAACGGAACTGTGAGCCAACTAAGTGCGGCACCCATGAGTCGTGGGCATGTATCTAGAGCCTTGTGGACAGGGTTCATGAGTTAAAGTCCGCCTTCCCGATCGTTGTTTCTCTCTTCGTTGCCGCTGACGTCACTGGCGCTTTATATTTCCCATTCATTCTCATGGCCCGAGCGCGAACGAGCACACGCCATCTTTTCATGCGCACATAGTTCTGTTTGATAGAAATACGTCCCATTGCCGTTGAGCAATTTTCCGTTTAAAAAATAAAGTATGACAGGAAGTCTGCGATGTCGCAAACCAAGTTATGCGATTGCCGACTTACACCGTCGATTAGTGAGTGGAGATTGGGCAGCATTGAAATGGACTGCATTTTGCAATTTGGACCTATAAACAGGCCCGCCACATCCCATCTCGGGCCCTGGTACCAATTTTCTGGCCCGGGCCCCTAGCACAGGGGGGGGGGGGCCGGGGGGCCTCCCCCGGGAAATTTTTGAAATTTTAAATCTATTTGGACGCATTATGAAGCTCTTATGATGGAGATTTTCCATCAATTTCTGCAGAATAATTACGCCTTTTGGTTTACTTTCAGCACCAAAAACTTTCGAATTGTTGCATTCAAAACATCTTAAATTTTTTTTTGAGGGAGCAGATGATAATTTTCAATTCTATGGGGAGCCGGGCCCCCCTGGACTCCCCTTTCGTACGTCTATGGCAAGGGAGTTAAGCCATTGAAGTCGAGGACGCCCAGAAAGGAGCCTCTTAGCATCCGACAACGGAAGAAAATGAAACACAGTTACTAAAAATATCATTCTACATATACTCAAAATCTTGAAAATCTCTAAAAAAGTAAGAAAAATTTTATAGTGCCCTAGCGTGTTTTTGAAACTTTATTCACCTTTTGCGGAATTTGTAGGGTAATTTGCTCACTTTTCCCTACGATACAAGGGTTACACATGAATTCGTAGTGGTTTGTCACAAGCGTCACGGGCCCCTCCAGGGCCCGGGCCCTGGTACCAAGGACCCAGTACCCCCCCCCCCTTGTGNCGGTTTAAAAACAACGTATGTGCCATTAGTTTCCCTATGCACATAAGTGTTTCTTCAGATGAGTCAGAATTTATAGTTCCCAATTGCAAAATGCAGTCCAATTTTGACGTAAAGTTTCCTCCATGCTGAATACCTTGTTTCGGGAAGAACGCCCTAACGGCTTGCTGTAAAGGTGTGAAGCCCCTATCGGTTGGAGCGTTGACATCTGCACCGTAGTCGAGCAGCAGAGACACGGCGGTCCCGAATCGCCTCACGATCGCCATATGCAAAGGCCGTCCTCCGCTCAATTTGTTATAACCAATGACATCGTTTTCCGTTGGAACTTCTTTATTTTCAAATGGATATCTGTAGGAGGGCGGCTCAGACAACCTTCAGAAGTATGGAAAAAAAAAAAAGAAAAGTAAAAATGTGACCGCCCACGCTGCTGTGATAGCAAAGAGAGCAGTAAGTGTCAAATTTTCCTTCGAAATCTGTCTAATCTCGTTTAGATGAAATTCCTGAAATAGCTGAAGGAGCTAAATTCGTCGTATTTGTATGAAAACGAGGCATATGAAAAAGCCGTAAGTGCGGGAAAAATGACACCAGGCATAAGACAACCGTTAGGAGTATCATTCCTCTAAAGAGCCAATGAAAACGGTGCTTTCAAGTACAATGCCGCCTTCCTCTGCCAATACCTAACTTGAAAAAGTGCTTGTTGTGTGTCCGAAACGTGATCACAAAAACATGTAAAAGATAGCACTTACGGCTGTCTTGCATAACACTAGCCTGACATGAAAATGAATAGTACCCTTTTTTTAAACAAATTAGTCGGTTTTTAATCATTTAGACGCTTTCTTGGAGTCTTCCGGATGATTGGTGGGAATGTGACAAAGAACGGAGGCTTCTTTCGATCAAATTCATCGCTCAGACGCGACGCGCTAGTGAGGCCATTTTCTCAAAACTTCATTTTTGCACTTACGGCTCTCTTTGCCATTACGACAGATTTAGTCCAAAGAAACTCAAGATTAATATTTATATTTAAGTGCAGTAGAAAATTTCCCGTTTAATTTGCAACAAAAAAAAACATCGGAATAACACATAATATTCGTGTTTCTGCAAAGTCATGACGTCATCGTAGCTCTGATCGTATGATTACCAACATGTGTGTTTTACTCTAGTTACTAGGATCCTGAATGTTCGATGTTTTTTGTTGCAAAATGTTTGTAAAATTCTCTTCTGTGCTCCAAAATAAATTTATAAATTTGAGTTCCTGATCGTATGATTATCAACTTGAGTTTTTCGACTAGTGCGTCTCGCCGATTTTGATCTGTGATAACTAGAGTACTAATGGACTCAATGAACTCGGAGTTCTTAAATCTCGACGTTTTCCTTCCGAAGAAAAGTTCAATGTTGCCAAGTTTCCCATTGTAATGTGCATATTGACCAGGAAAATCTTGAGAGATTCTAAGTGAAAATGCCACTGATTTTTCCTCAGATTTCATGAAAAAAAAAACCAGAAAAATCCGGATAAAAATTGCACAGGTACATTTTTGTAGAATAAATTAATTGTTGAGGTCGATTTGGCAACCTTGGCGTGGGGTTACGTCCCTCGTCTGGGAGACGACGATTTGGACGTATTTCTATATCAAACGGAACTATGTGCATACATGAGCCCTGCGGGCCGATTATTGAAACTGATAGACAAAGCTATAGACAAAGACGACAAAAGGGATTTGGAGGGATCCTATTGGTGGAAGCAGGTGGTGGCAATGAAAATAGGAGGTAGGTAATGGACTAACTAACGGCGACCCACTAAAGACCCGACAGTTAGTCCATCATTTTCTCACTCAGTCTATGAGAACCAACCACGTCAACCAATAAGATCGCTCCATACTCCCTATGTCTTCTTTGTCTATCACTTTGTCCATCAGTTTCAATAATCGCCCCGCTGATACCCATAAGACTATATGCAACCCTGGTAAAATAGAATCTGTGTCCCAAAATACCCTAGACCTACAGGCCGGCTGTAAGATTTCCAATAGCTTCTATAGCCGGCAACACAATTTCTTATAGCCTTTTATAGCCGATGGCGAAAAAGTGTATGCTAAATAGAGAGTTTTTGGACTACCGCCTTCTTTTTGGGCCGTAATATCTTGATTTATTTTGCGAGGAAAGCTCCGTACTTCTGAAGGATGCCTGTCATTCCTAATATGTAGGAACGCCTTCAATTTTGTATGATACTGTGCAATACCTCTGGTGTGAAATAGTTGCTTCAAGCGCCGTGGTACGCTGCGGCGGCGCGGCGCGGCGGGCAGCCAGCGCGAAACCCGCATTATTGGCGCCTACAAACCTAACAGGGATACTTCACGCATTGCGGAATGCGTGAAGTATCCTTGTTAGGTTTGTAGGCGCCAGTGCGCCGCCGCTCCGCTTTGTATTAGGCTACACTCTGTATGGATTATATTCTCATTTTAATTGATGAAAAAAAATATGTAGTAAAGGAAAATATAATGTGCGTTTTGTAAATATTAAGGTGATTCCGTACAAACCTAAGGATTTACAAATCACACGAATTTCTACACAATTTCTTATAGCCGTTTTTAGCCGATGGCGAAAAAGCAACAGCCAGGCGATGAAGTGTAAAGCCCGGCGATAGGAACTATAGCCCGGCTGTATAATTTTTTATATCGCTTCGTGTAGCCCGGCCGTATGATAATTTCCACTCTCTACAGCCATCTATATGATTTTTCATCGCCCCCTTCAGTCGGCTATAAGAACTCATATGGTATTTTGAAACGCAGCTCCTATCGCCAATTTTTACCAGGGAAAACAGGGCTCACGTCATAATACACACAGTTCCGTTTGGCAGAAATGCGTCTATTTGAGACCCTGATAAGCTCAAAACCTGGATAGCTTGAATTTTTTTCATTTCCCTTTGACTTGGAGTTTTCGGGGTTCAGCTGTAGAGAATTACTAGCCGTTCTGGACGCGCCTTGCGCGTCCGACACGGCTAGCCAAGGGGCTACGCCCCCTGGAGCCCCGGTCACTCGCTACGCGAGTGACATTCAAAGCGAGCCATTTTTCTGAGTAGTTGGACGTTTGATCCCTATGATGCATACATTTTGGAATCTCTCGAGACAAAAATGATTTTTTCAAGAACCTAGTTGCCGGAGCGTGCCATCACTTGCACATAAATAAATATTATATGGAGATGAAGCAATGATGAGGATCGATTATTTCTTGAAAAACGCATTTGACTGGGACGTCTGTCCCATCGGGTGGAGGAAAGCGACAAGCGTGGATCTCCATCCGTGATTTGACTTGTTGAAGTAGCAAAAGTTCATATTTACTTCCTAAGAAGATTATCGGTGGCGTAGGGGTCTAAAAAAGTAAATATATCCTCATTTCATTTCCTTTCCCTTTCATTTTTTTCCTTTTTTGTATAGCATATATGGATTACATTTTGCAAAAAGGAACCACTAGCATTGCAATGATGCTAAGATTGTGCAACTTTATCGTTTGCAATAAAATTGCAGAAATTGTGAAAAACTATGAAATTTAGATGGTAATTTTTGTCTTAAATTTACTGTTTTTAGCGAGTAAAATAGAAACTATTAAGGGATAATCGGGGTGTTCCTCCAAGACAAAAGAAGTTGCACAATCTTAGCAAAATTGCATTGCTAGTGGTTCCTTTTTGCAAAATGCAATCCATATGTTCATCTACAATTATTATTATAAAATAGCTTTCCCTAGACTGCATTTGATGCTTTAAACGCAACCAATATGTTTTAATGACATTTCTGGCTAAATCATGGTTTTTTCCAGGGAGGCAGCCTCTCGTCCCTCGCAGACTCTATTGTTACCAGATAAATTGCTTTGTCGACACTCTTCCCAGTTCAAACCCATGTAAAATATTCACATTTATCGCACAATGTGGCAACCCAACGAGTGAAATAGAAAAAGGTGGAATCGACTAAATGTCTGAATCCTTCGAAGTTTATATTAATGATGATGATTTGCAGTTTCACCTCGGGTGCCAGTATGGAACGTGGATTGGGGTATACGGGCTGCGACCTTGCGAGGGTATCTGCCCATTGACGTCCCAGCCATGCTGAAGAAGAGTCTCAACAGTTTCCACTTCTCCGTTGTAGAGGGCGGTTATTAGGCAAGAGACATGGTTCGGGCCAGTGCCCTTATGCTGAAGAAGCATCCTGCAACAGATAAATATCCTTTTCGGTGTTTCCCACACGAAGGCACGTAACTCTACTCCGAGGTTGTAAAATTGATTCAAACAATTTAATTTTTTACGAGAATGTCCCAGCGCAATTTTTGTAGACAATTTGGATGGTTTCTATGATAATAATATTTATTGAAAAACAATTTACATTTCCTGTCAACTTAAAAAACTACTTAAAAACTATTTTTACTCATTACAAAGTATATACGTATCGCTTATTTCAAATGAAACAATGATTACACTAAAAAAATTTAAGGTTACATTTTAAATTTTTGCTCGAAAAATGCCTCTATTTTATAATAGACTTTTGCCTTGAAAAACTGCCTAGCTCTGTTTCTAAAGATTTTTTGATCTTTTATTGCTTTTAGTTTTTCAGGCAAATGATTGAAGGCTCTGATGCATTTTGCCTATGGTCCTTTTTCAAACGCATGGAGATCTCCCGTTATTGGCGTTTTGATGTTATTTTTGTTCCTATTTCTATAGTTTACTATATCCCTACTGAACGTGAAGAGCTTCCTGTTATTGTTCTTTTTATGCTTCACATGAGATCAGAAGAAAAATCACTAAAATTTTCAGTCAGAAACGCCCAAGATTCTCCTAATAAAAATGCAATTCGCGCGAGGAAATTTGGCAAGTTGAATTGTAGTTACGTTCTATTCAGTGCGTGGCGTGAATTGCGATATATCGATTGATATGTAATTTAAACCTATGGTAAAGAATCGATTATTAAGTTGTTCGCTGCGAACACCCTGATAATCGATCCTTTTCCATAGGTTTAAATGGCAGATCATTCGATATATCGCAAAGCATGCCACGCCACTGGACTTCTATCGTGAGGGAAACTACGATTTTACTGCAGATTCCCAGATCAACCCGAAAATATATCCTCGGAATAAAAGTTAAAAAACACTAGACGCACCAACCGCACTAACCTCAAAATATTCAAGTTTGACTCCTTAACTGCTTTATAAACAGGACTCCCTTCTGAACAATCAATACTCGTGTTAGCGCCTTTTCCCAGCAAATACTGCACAACCTCTGGCCGGTCAAGTTCCACGGCTATGCATAATAGACATTTTCCGCCTATGATGCTGTCAAGTGGTACCCCAATGACTAAAATCATCTGCAAAGCTTGTAAATCGTTATTAAGAATGACATCAAGAACACGCTTTCCCATTCTCTTACTGATCATTTTCTCCAAGCCAAGTTAGGCTTTTGAACTGTTTTAATACAAATTCGATAAACTGAGTTTTAACGTTACGAAAAGCATAGGTTCGGTTCGGCTTACGTGAGCAAGAATTTATTGGGCCTCGATGCATCATCTTAATAAAAAATAACTGAGAAAAAACTCGACTTCAACAATTTAAGTGGAAACTATAGATTGACTGATTCCATGCTTCGTCAAAAGTAAGCTAATTCGCACCATACTGCCGTGCTAAGGAAGAACGCCGTATGAGCTTTCTGCTGTTGCCAAATTTCTCCCGACAAAATATTTATTTTTGAGGAAAGTCATGCATATTTTCCCTTGAAATTTACAGATGTTTTAGATTAGGTCGTAGAGAAAATTGCCTGACAGGATGGAGAAAAAATATTCACAATTTTTCCCGTAAAGTTGTTTTTTAATGAAGGAAATCTGGCGATGTCTAGGGGCTCATGCGGCGCTTTCCCTTAGCATGGCAGCATACCCGGGACGTGAAATTTAGGTTAGGACAAAGATGGGTAGCAAGTGGACGGTATCTATGGTTTCATGGTTTCTCATGGAACTGCACACTTTTCAGACCGATATCGGATGTAGAAGGCGCGGACTGAGTAGGTAGTCTCATAATTGACATCTCAGACCTGGTCGGCCTAGGCATAAGGAATGAAGGACAGAGCTTCTTCCTGCAAGCTGATTGTTGAAATTTATGTCGGCACGACAAGAATCGAAAATCGATATATTACACGTCGCAGATAGGGCTATGTATTGTCTTATCTTGCCGAAATAGCCAGTAAGCATCTCTTTTTTTTCTCGAGGTCTTCTTTTGGAATCCTTTTCAGGATTTTTTTAGAGAAGATTCATCAGCCGCAACATGAGAGAGCACCCCATTAAGCCCGCGTTTTTCGATACTCAATGAGTGTTTTAAAAAAAGAAGAAAAAAAAGGCATGTCACCCCCTTCTCCCCCATGACATACTACAAATTACCCCCCGAGACTTTGGCCTGCTGTTTCACCGATTCCAATCAAAGTGGAAGTAAAATACCAGATCCGAAGACGAATAAGAAATCGTATCTTCCGCACTTTTGTAGGGGTTTCCTGCCGTGCTGAGGAAAAACGCCGTATAAACCTTCAGGCATTGCCAAATTTCTTTAGATAACATACGAATTTTTAAGAGAGTATGTGAATATCTTTCCTCCGAATTCTCGGAGAATTTTGTACGCAATTTAATCTAAATTATCTGAGAATTTCAAGGAAGAATATGCAAAACATTCCTCAAAAGTACATATTTTATCCAGTGAAATTTGGCAACTCTCGAATGTTCATACGGCGTTTTTCCCTCGCACGGCAGTTTTATGGTATGCGTATTTTATCCGAGTGTTTTCTGACGTATCACGTAAGATAGCAGGTGTTAAATATTAGGCACGCGTGGCATGGGCGTCCTTCTTATTCTATTATTTTTAATAACTAGAGGGCTCCGCGCGGCCAAACTCCCTCGTAGATTCTGTCAAATTATGATGAGAACATCACTTAATTTTTTTTTTTTTTTATACATTATTGTTGTAATTTTCATTAATACTACTAAAGTTCCTTTAGATGCTTATCCATTCAAATCCTTCATTAACAATTCAGCTGAAAACTTACCCTCAGTAATGGCATAGTTTCCCAAATTTAGTAATGTAGGTATGTTCTCGCTTGATTTAATTCTAGAAAGTATGTGCATATTTGTTATGTTAATGACACATACTTCCACAAATTTAATTTATTCGAAATTCAATCAATTTAAAATCAAATTCATTGTTACTGCAAGGATGAATCTAACTGAATTAGGATGAACTTAGATTAAACGGGATAAATGCAGTTGCATCTATCAAACTACGGTATAGGTTGTTTATCGATCTTCGATATGTCGTTCCATATAAAACTGGGTGCGTATTTCTGTGTGTATTCCTATTGGACGTATTTCTGTCAAACGGAACTAAGCGCCAATTTGAGTTCCTTTTGAGGAATTTAGAATCCCGGATAGCGCGTTCTGTCAAACGGAACTAAGCGCCATGGAAAAGCATTGCGAGTATAGGACGGAACGAGCCCGACGCCCGTTTCCGCCGCCAATCCAAGCCCCCCTCTACCTTCCTCCTCCGATGGCGCTTAGTTCCGTTTCACAGAAATACGTCCGTATAATGGTAAGAGTCTCATGGGCTGTGAGTATGCGGGGTTATTTATTGCGCATCCTCATTGAAGACGATTAAATGGACGTATTTCTGCCAAACAGAACTGTGTACATTAAGACATGAGCCCTGAGACCCATAAGAATGTGTGCATAACAGGGCTCACGGCATAATGCACATAGTTCCGTTTGATAGAAATACGTCCAAATGTTGGTACCATGTTGAGATCACGCGCGTTACCTCTATCCTCCACGGTGCTTTCCCGGCCGTTCGTCATTTGTTAATTTATTTTCGCGATACTCATTGTTGTTGGTAACGCCGAAGCGAAACTGTTGTCACCGGTCTAAAACGCCTTCAATTTCGTGTGATACTTCATCGCCCACACCGGAGTTGAAATATCTGTGTAAAAAATGATCGTGCATTTTGATATTAACTCGTAGGATCTCTCGACCTTTCATCGAACAGCCATAAAAAGTCAGCTCACACTAAGCCGAGAAACCCCTAGCCGTCTGCATTTGCTAAATCCTCTTGCAAATGTTTCGTGCCTTAGCGGATCTTTCCTGGGGTCTTCAAAGAAATGACGGGAGAATGCGGTTTTCGTGATACACTTTCCTGTGAGTCGAGAGAAACTGTGGTCACCAGTCGAAAACGCCTTCAATTTTGTGTGATACTTCATTGCCCGCACCGGAATCAAAATATTTCTATGAAAATTCCCCGTGTGTCCTGATACTAACTTGCGGGATCTTTAAATCGCTTATCGAACATTCATGAAGTGTCGTCGTTACCAACACGGTACGTTCCAGACAGTTTGTCATTAATTGAAATAATTTATCATTCTTAACCCTAGTCTGCCTGAGCCTCTGAACCAACGAGAAAGCCTGAGCGGCGTCAATTTGACCCCAGCTGAAAATCAATTAGTTAGCTGTGTTTTTTCATGTTTTTAGTTAATATCAGTGCACTAACCTTACATGCCTTAACCATAAAGCATATCTAAGTTTTAAAAAACACGGCGCAGGGTATGCAACCATTTTATCATACACATGTTGCCATGTTGTTCTCAGCATGAGAAAAAAAAATCATAGGGCTACTAAATACTGAAAACGAAAAAAATCTGAAAAATTTTGCTTGTTTTATAAGTCTCTGAAAAAAATTAAAAAGAGAAAAATGAATACACCTTCAAAGTAAGCTTTTGTGATGCTAAATGGTAAAATATACGTTATAAGGATATCTGATCCCGCTCAGGCTTTCTAGGGGTACTCGTGAATTTGTTGATCTCTCATGCACATTTTTTTTCCCCCCTTCAAAATCGTGTTCCTAGATGTTTTTGTAGAGCTATTTGTGAAGGACAAAAAATTTCGTGCATACCACGAGGAATGGCAAAGAGTTGAAACTCCCGTGGGGTCAATCTGACCCCACTCAGGCAGACTAGGGTTAAATGACGGAAAAAAGTGAACCCTTTCCTACTTTAGTTTTACTATCATTTGGGAGAGGTGACTTATTCGATGCCTCATTATAGTTTTACAAGGAGGCTATGCCCCCTGGCCGCTACGCGGCCAAACCCCCGGGGGGGCGCTTTAGGCTCTCTTAGGCCCACGTCGACAGAAGAACGACCAAAAATAATGAAAAAATTTTGATACCCGACCCTCATTATTTGTCCACTCTCCCTTGGCCGGGAGCGTTTGGGCCAATTAGAATTGAATGAAAAAATCGGCATTCAACGGCATTTCAAACTTCACGCCAAAACTGAAACGGAACGGAACGAGCGCTTCGTCGCTTTTTGATAGTCTGTAGCAGGGAGCATACCTTCAATGCACTTAACCTACTAACAGACTAAGATTCGATAGTTCCCGCACAGTTCGATCAATTTTGCCTCATTCCTAAGCAGGGGCGGACTGGTAGTCGAAAAGTTAGGAGGAGACCTAAATGTAAGGGCCCCTCCTGTCGTTCGGGGGCCCTCCCCCGGTAAATTTTGAAAATTTCACACTTTTTAAACACGGAGGCATTATTGGAGTTGGATTCTACAGTACTTGAATTTCAAAATAACCCATTCTCAGGATTCATCGGGAATCCCGTCATCACAAATAATTTTGGGGACCTTCCATGTCTCTTAGAGACAATTTTTCAAGGAATTCGGGGCCTTTTAGTGTTTAAAAAGGATAAGAAAATTACAACATTACGGGAAAAAAACGATGACTCGAAAAAAATTCGCCGCGGGGGTCCCTTCGAGACCTCCGCGGCTAATTATTAGGGGGCGATCGCCTCCCCGCCCCTGACGGCACAAGAAAGCCGAAAAACCAAGCGGGGACTATACTTCAATATTAAACTTCCATCGCCTTGCTAAGGCGCAGGGATACAACTATTCGAACTCTCCGGAACGCGTGAGGTATCACGCTTCAATTGAAGGCGTTTACGAATCTTACGTATTTACATGACGAGATTTTCGAAATTTGTTTTCATTATATTGTAGATTTGAGATCGTCATATTATTTAGTTAAATTACTCCTGCTTCTTAATTTTAAATTATTCTGCAAACATTATCCATTTGCGAAATACAACCCTGGCTTCAGCGCCCTTAAACTACGTTAGTTTTTTTGCATTTCATTGTAGATTTGAGTTCCTTTTGTTATTTAGTTAAATTATTCCTGCTTCTTAATTTCTAATTATTATGCAAAAATTATCTTTTTAGGAAATACAATCCTGCCTTAAGCGCCCTTAAACTACGGCCTTAACGGTTGAAACTACAGTAGCTGCACCGGAAAACCGAAAAACAACGCGAGGACGCTACTTCAATATTAAACTTCCATCGCCTTGCTAAGGCGCGGGAATACAACTATTCGAACTCTCCGGAACGCGTGAGGTATCACGCTTCAATTGAAGGCGTTTTCGAATCTTCTGTTTTTACATGACAAGACTTTCAAAATGTGTTTGCATTATATTGTAGATTCGAGTTCCTTTTATTACTTCGGTAAAGTACTCCTGCTTCTTAATTTTAAATTATTTTGCAAACACTATCCATTTGCGAAATACAACCCTGGCTTTAGCGCCCTTAA